TCCTTTTCAATTCCAATTCCATCATCATAACAATAACTAAGATAGCTCATCGCATGAACATTTTCCATGTTTGCAGAGTTTTGATAATAAATGAATGCCTTATGTTCGTCCTTTTCAACTCCAATTCCATGACGATAACAATTTCCAAGTGTGATCATCGCTTGAGAATTTCCCATGTTCGCAGCCTTTTCGTAAAATTCGAATGCCTTCCTTTCATTCTTTTCGATTACGATACCATACTCATAACTGCAGCAAAATTTATAAAGTTCGTCTGAAGATTTATAGTCCATTTTTTAAGGCAAAGAATTAAAATCGAATTTGTATTGAAGTAATGTTTGAATATCCTTACTAGAGATGTCACCCAAACCGATGGTTTCAGCACGTAGTCAAACCCAAATAGCCTAAACTAGTTTGGGACTTGGCTGAAATAAAATCCCAAACTATCCCTTCATCTGTAGATTTTCACATGCTACTATGTTTTTCTAGGCAAATTTGCCTGGAATACAGTTTAAAGGATAATGATACAACAATAATATATTACAATAATAAGTAGCTGCGCAACGCAGTTGCGTGAAATCATGTACAATGAATACAGTGCTAGATACTATGAAAAGATCTTTATAAGTGTATTTTTAGTAAGCACACTTCAGACATACACATGATTTAACCATTGTAATTCTTTGATTTAGAATTGACAATCTATTATAGAAAAAGGATGATTGTAATTCTTTGATTTAGAATTGACAATCTAGTATAGAAAAAGGATGATTGTGATTTATTTTTAATATTAATAAGATTAATGTTAAAACTGTATAAAGAACTAAGAAAAATATTCCAAAAATGGATAATTGAGGGGTTATTTTAAATTTTAAGTTCCTTCCTTTTACGAGATTAAAATCGCACGATTTTGTAATAAAATTTATAATATAAAAACAATTGACTATATTGTCTACGTATTCTTATAAATTTTCGAATAATTTAAAGGATCGTACGATATTACCAGCATATCAGATATGTTTTCTCTGTTCGGGTAAGTAAATTTTATAATACTCAATATTCAAAAATTGTTATATGACAGAGTTGTTTAGGTTACCTTTTTGATGCATTTGATGCAGATCATTACTTTTATTAGAGTTAGGGTTAGAATTAGATGTGATCTGCATCAATAAAATCCCAACTCAGGTTCAGGTTTCACCCTGTCGTATTGTTACGTATTACAAAAAACATTCCAATTTATTAATCTTGAAAAAAACTAACTGTACACGGGGTGTTTGAAACACAGGTTTAATTTTTATAAAAAAAAAAAATAATTTTTTTATAAAAAAAAAACACTTTTTATCTACTTTAGGGTTAGGGCGAAGCCTGAGATTTTAGCAGACATTAGTACGTTATGTAAAAAATTTTTTTTTTCGTTATACAAAAAAAGATTTACATGTAACACCTGATCTTAAATTTTGATTGGCTTTCTGATACATTTGTGTCATCGAATTTAATAGTTGCTTTTTTTACTGCTACATCCCGGAATCAACATTTAAATATCAATATAAATAAAAAACAATTCAAAGATTTACACATTTTCGAATCTGGATTCGAATAATAGGTTTTTATTCTATCAAATATAACCCTGAAACTAATAATAAAAATTTTGAATGAAACTACTTACATTTAATAATAATACAAACATAAATCGTAATCGTAAATAATATAAATACAATGTTATTTGTTAATCCAGATAGCGAATAATTTTTGATTTTTCATCTGATTGGTTGATTTTTGTAGAAAATCAACCAGTTAAAAATTACATTATTTTTATAATTACAGTAGTTATCAAGATTAAAAGTATAAGGTAAAGTGGAGTATTATGACGCACTTAAGAGTTGCTTATATAAAATTTCCAGAAAAATATATTTATTCTTGAAATTTATTGAAATAGATTATTCATCGAATTAACTATCTGCCAATAAAAAAAAAAATTCGACTTTAAAAAAAATATATTGAAATATGAGCTTTCAAAATCTACTCAAAAAATGCTATGTTTTTTACATTTGGGGGGTATTATGGCGCACCATGTTCACTATGTGTTTCGTATTATATTATTGCATCCTTCCTCCGGACATTACCCAAATGAGGAAATATATTATAAAAATGAAAAGAAACTTAATACTGTCATAAGCAATGTCAACTTTTACTTATATATTGTGATTTAGCAATTAGAATCAAAAAAAAATTTATATTATTTGATTCGTCTCAGTAAGACGAATTGAATGGTACTAAAAATTTTCGATTCTGATATGTGTATCGCACTATATCATCAAAAAACACAAGTGCGTCATATTACTCACCTGCGTCATAATACCCCACTTCACCTTAAGCCTAAAACTGAAACAACTGGAATCGAAGGCCTAAGAACGAGACAACACTAAGTTAAAGAAATCCTCTTTGCAATCCTAAAACCCGGACCAAATCCTCCACGCCCTCTTTCAGCCTTCCACTTAGGGTTGATTGTTGGATTTATTGTGTTGCTCTTAGACCCGAACCTTGGTGTGACCTAGCCTCCGGTCGAGTTCTGACCAGAACCAGTCCACACCTTCTCAGTATGCAGGTTATATCCGAATATCGATTTAACAATCCGGATTTAAATCCGAAGCTGAAGATCACTAATTAAATAAATCCGGATTTAAAAAATAAATTCGGTTTCAAACTCTAGACCTGAAATATGGAAACAATATGTAAACGCATGGAAAAGAATAGGAGGTATTATAAATAACACATCAGAAAATTGGCCATGGAGTCTAGAGAATATTAACCTGACAGGTACAAAAGGCACAGAATACAAAATAAGCAAGGCGGTAAAATTCCTAAGATCGAAATCACATATACCAGAATCACACAAATGAAATGCATGAGTTCCAACAATAGGATTGGATGAAAACAAGGTGGACAAACAATAAAAGAAAAGACACCTTCTGGCGCTTCCAACACAGAGCATTACCCCTAGGGTACAGACTAACATATATAATCAAAGATGATAATGGAGAATGTCCAAATTGCCTGAGGGAGATCCAAACACCGGAACATTTTGGAGTTGAATGCAAAATAAGTAAAGAAATTTGGCGAATCGTATATAACTTCTTAAAACAAACACAACCAGAGACATCACCTACAACAATTGAAGAAATCTTTACTGCATCAAACATACGAAATAACGAATTGAAAAAAACAGCAATATGGCTTCACATCATAGCAATATACGAAATCTGGTATCACTACACACAATCAAGATGGGGAGGCGAACCAATCCCAAGCCCTATACTCTCATATGTAATCAAAAACAGAATTAGGAAAGAAATAAGAGCGCTGAAGGAAATACCAAGCAACAAAAGTAAATCTAGAAACAAACTACTCAAAAATTTGATAGAATAGTCATTGTAAATAATCAAATTCATTCATACTCTTGTAAATAATAAATAACGAATAAATTACGCCAATTGGCGTCCCTTCTAGAAAGGGTTTTTAATAATAATATTAATATTAATTAATTATAGTCGCTAAAAATAATATATAACTGATTCAAATTTTTTTATACAGACATGTATACTATACGCTTTTTTAAAAAAAAAATTTTCTACATGTATGTAATACGCTTTTTCTTTTTTATTAACCTACGTCTTTCATGGTATTGACTGTTCGATTATATACAACACCCTGCGGAAAGTAATTCGTATTAGTTTATTTACATTAACCTAGACCACTACGTAAATTCCATCACCAACAACATATTTATAAAGTTAATAAATAAGTTATTAACCAGTTAATAATTAGCTATCATTTCACAACGGTCAAACCTTTATTCTTTTAAGTATGTTAAAGATAAAATGATCAATTCATTTATTGCATATAAAAATATGAAGTGCTATTAATTAATAACGACTCCGAAAAGTGAAATACAGTATTAGTAAGAAGAATCACAGGATCAAAATCAAGTTTACTACTAAATGCATTTAATGAGGCCAAGAACCTTGTCAAACAGTCGCTCAACGACGGATAAACATTTAGTATGTGTATACATTAATAAAAGCATAATCTTATATTTATCAAGATAATAAGATTAATTGATTTCCATGTTTTTATTTGTAATTATCGGTATGATCTTGCTGGTGTACATGTCTTTAGGATGTTTCGGTTCGGCGGGTTCTGGTTTAA